CAGACAAAGACATTTTGGAGTTTGTTCAAAACCCAAAGAATATCATTCATGCAGACTCGAAAACGAATTGACTAATGCAGCTCCTACGTCATACGAAATAAGAAACGTCACGAAGAATATACGCAGTTATTTAGACGCACGTTCCAATGAGAAAAATGGATAACAAAATGGGCGACATCGAACAATTTGTTGACAATTTCATGTTGAAGAAGACAACGCAAAGAAATATCAGATTATTTTCCTAAAACTCAGTAAATGTTTTTGTTTTCAAAAAACTTAAATATTTTGTTTTACATTTTTTTTAGTTCTTGTGAATGTCTTTGTTTCATTGATTTTTATTAAATATATGCATCTATACACATCTTTATAAATAAAATGTACTATAACGAGATAACTTAATTTTGTTGAATATATACATATATATTGTAATATCCTTCAACACGAAAACTATTTTCCAAGAACTCAATAAATGTTTTTATTTTTCAAAAAACTTGAAAATTTTGTATTAAATTTCTTCCTTTCTGTCAATGTTTTTGTTTCATTTATTTTTATTAAATACATACATATATGTAAATAAAATGCGCTCTAATAATTTCATTGAATATATGTTTTTTTTTCCTTTCAACACGAAAAAATATCTCAGCCCACACAGCTTCGTGTTAACGATTTTCACAGTATTTCCAGTCTCTCGTGTGGTTTGCTGCCATTTCAATAACTACCTTACTGACATCTTCGCAATTATCTCTGTTGAGGCTGTTTTCGGTGAAAATGCGAGAGCTTGAACTAAATGCTAAACACATTACTAGACAGAAAAATGCCCCAATTTCCATAGAAATTTGTAGAATTATAGCTCGCATCTCTGATAACAATCAAGTGTTTTTAAACATTTCAAAAACTGTCCCATGAATACTTTCTTTTTCATTTTAATGCGGGAAGACATATCCCATTTAACATTACTGTATAGGTGAAAAGACGCGAAACACATTTTATACCAGAAAAAAATGAATCCACTCTGTTAAAAAAGGGAAGTAGGATAAAAAAAGCTGCTTTCTAAAGGATAGTGAAGCCAGAAAATAATATTAATTTTTCATTTCTTTTATATCTGAAAATTTTTTCCAAATTCAGGTCCTGTTCTTTAACATTAACCGAAAACAGCCTTAATGTTTGCACGTGAGTGGACGTTAACATTTTCATACTTTATAGATTTCATTTGATTTAAATGTAGGCCGCTATTTGAAAAACTCGAGAACTATTAACTACGGGGATTGTAAAATTGAGTCATGATCAAGTGATGAGGAGGGTACCTGAACTTCGGTAATCCCCTTCACTACATCAACGGAAAGACTTTGAGCCCTTCCACAAGATGGGTTTTCAGTGGCGCCAAAACTTGAACCTACGATGCACCGGCCACGAGTTCGTGACCATAACCACTAGGTTACGAGGACCTTTGAGGTTTTATCGGCACCAAGAACAGGGTGAATAATGACAATATTCCGTGGTGAACTTTATTCTCTTTCCTTAGCGTTACGATTTGTTGTTGTTACTAATGCCACCTGATCGACAAAGGCCAGATCAAAGCCCACTGTGATGAGGCCAGTCTTCCCTCTAATTGCTCTAATTTCCCGACAGACGTTGGGAAAATTCCAGACATTTCCCTAATTGCTGGGAAAGAATTTCGCAACTGGATGGTCAGAGATTCCGACCCTCTTTTCCCAGGCTGTCCCAGCCGTCGAAAAGAGACGCCGTAACATTGTGCATTCATTTTCTCACGATTCAGTAACGACAGCGTGTCTGAAGACTTACAATGTGGACCGAGCCATCGGCCCCCAACGGGCAAGAGATCAAATGGGTCGAGACCAACAGGGGCGGCCTAAGAACAAGAGATCAAAGAAGAAATTAGGAGGCGAGGGATGGTGAGAGACGAGGGGAATATAAGGAGAGAGTACGAAAAGACTGGATCTTTGCTTGGACCTCTGCTCTTTAATCTTTATATTAATGACATCCTCAGCTATTCATTAAAAAAATCAGTCTCTATGCGGATGATACGGCCGTGCCCACAACTTACAAAAATCTCAAGACAATATCTTATGCAATGAATAAACACCTTCTCCTTCTGCAAAATTTTTATGATAAATGGAAAATCAGTATTAATGTGGAAAAATCCTCAGCCATAATATTTACAAGAAAAAGCTCTCTACACCGCCACCACTCATCATGTACAATAAACAGATTCCCTGGTCTCAAGAAGCTAAATACCAAGGAGTTATATTTTCGATACTCACTTAACATGGAAACAACATATTTTATACGCTCGCGATAAGTTCCGAAAAATCATGTTTAAACTTTACCCACTAATAGGCCGGAGCTCTCATTTAAGTATAGAAAACAAAGTGCTTCTCTTTGCAGCCGTAATGCGACCAATTATAGCTTACGCTTGTTCAGTTTGGTGATATGCTGCTAATACTAATGTCAAAATTTTAGATACTCTCCATTGATTGATTGATTGAATATTAACGTCGCACTGTTCAGCTACACGAGAGCTTTTGGCGACGGACCACGTAATTTTGAACCATGGTCAAGTGACGGGGACGACACCTGAGCTGGCACCCCCTCTCCTAACTACCACACCACACCAACGGGAGGACGTTTCAGCTCTCGACAGATTTAACGTGCATCGCTGCCCTACACGGCGGGTCTTTAGTGGTACTGGGCTCGAACCCATGATAAAGCAAGCCACGTTCCGATACCAATACCACTCGGCTACCGCGGCCACTAGATACTCTCCAAGATTCTCTCATACGTATGATCGTCAAAGCCACAAGGTATATAAGCAATGACGACATACGTAACGCCATAAAAATATTAAGTTTTATATCTCATATCCAAAAAATAGCTATTAACTTCTTTAATGCACTACCTGATACCAATAATTCTAATATGCTCAATTTAATTCCATATACTCCTAACGAAAATGCTAGAAGACCAAGAAGAATTCTTCTTGATTCATATAAACCTTCGTTACTTTTTAATTTCATGCAATAAAATTTTTTATTGCACCATAGGTAGCTAAAATCTTACTTTCTTTCAAATTTGTCAATTCCTTTCTACCCCACTGGACAAGAACCTCCCCATTTTCTAAATCTCAGCCCCCCAGGGCAGCCAATTGGAGTTTCTGTTCACTTTACCCAGCAACCAATCAGAGAGCAGCCCCTCTAAGCTCTCACCCAAGCCAAACAACTTCTTCGCCCAGATGAAGAACCATAGCCACGCCTCCCGGATCCAATCGTTCGACCAATCGCCGTCATGCCACTCAGCAGAATGGAAACTACCACTTTCGCCATGCCCAGCATCCAATACATGTCCTGATATGGGATTGAGGACAGTCCAGATGCTCAAAGGAAAACGCCTATTCAACGAAAAGACTGAATTTGAGGGAACCGTTTTGAGGTCCCTCCAGCGAGAGAATTGATCAGGGAGCCGGTGAACTGGATCCACGAATTAAGACGAATTCTGAACCGGAGAATCTTAACGTGAGAGAACCGGATTGGAGGCCCCTCTAAATAAAGACTTGTGATGCAGCTATACCTGTCTCCGCGAAGTAAGGTGCATTTTGGAACCGTGGATATTGTGAAGGAGCAACTGCACAGCGGATTTAGAGCCAACGAACTCACCCAGACTCGGTGTGGAATTACCGAGAGTGAGCCCTCTCTTTTTACATTCCCTATGTATAGGACTTTTCTATAGAGTGTCAATTTATGTCATTATTTTATGCGAGAGATATGAGACTTTGCAACGAAAGAGACTCGAAATCTATAGTCCTTTTTAATAATTAATTGTGATAGAATAATTTTGATGATTTTCTTACTGAGAAATAAATAGTTTTTCCCAGAGCTGTGTGAAGCCATTACACCACGAAATTTACCATGTTAAAGGGCTTAGTGACGCCTGTCGTTAGCTGTAGCTTTGAACACTATACAGGAGACAGAACGATTTAGCTCGGTTTCACCCCAATTTTGAGGGAGAACACCCTGGGGGTGGTCAGCGCCTCCCGTTTCTCTTTCCCTTCCATCCACCTCATGAGAGAACTTGAGGCTCAGCGGCTATTTAAAGTACCCCATGCCGTGAAGGCACTATACATTTACAAATATCCATGTCTTCTCCGGGATTCGAACCCAAGCCCAACAGCAAAGCAGTCAGCATCGCTAACCACTCTACAGGATGGGTGATACCATTACGATGCTATACTGTGTACCGAAGTGATTATACAAAAGAATACACGCGCGTATTTGAAATAGTTCACAGCCCTGGAGGGTTACGGTAGTTTAGTGTTTGAGGTAACAGACTCGTGGTCGACGTGTCATGAGTTCAAGTCTAATACTGCTGAAGACCCGCCGTGCAGAGGGGCTGATGCACATTGAATATATAGAGGCTCAAATGACCTCTTGTTGTAGGGGGAAGTTAGGAGAGGAAGGTGACAGATCAGGTGTCATCCTCGTCACTTGACTATGGTTCAAAATGACGAGGTCCGTTGCCAAAAGCCCACGAGTAGCTGAATAGTGCGACGTTAATATTCTCTCACTGAAAACTTCAGAATTGTTCTGGGTGTGTTGAACGGACTCGGGTGAAAGTAAGAAATACGGAAAAACATTCCATTAATCAAACTCAACTATTTGCAGATTGTCAGATTCGAATTTCAGCTACTGTAAAATCTGGCGTATAACGTGCATTTTTAACACAAACAAATAATATTTTTTAAAAAATTAATTCCCTTCCTACCTAGGTCAACAATGAAAAATTTTATATTTTAGTTACGTTACATTAAATAATTACAATATATATTTATATATATACACACACATATGACAGACAGAACCCCACTATTAAATGACCAAATGGAAAGCGATTTTCCATTTTCCTTCCTCCATAGAGTGTTGGAGCATTATTATTTTTTTGTTTGTTACTATTTATTCATTCATAAATCACATTCACAGAAATTAGGCCATCCCAGGTAGGATTCAAACCCACGACCTTTGGATTAGAAGTCCAACGCGCGCGCGCTATCGATTGCGCTACAAGGTGACTACGAGCGATTTTCTTTTTTATAAAGGATCTTCGACCATTATTTTTGTTTGTTACTATTTTTTCATTAGTTAAATTGAGTTAATAAATTCATATTTGAAAAAACTGTATTTAACTTTCACTACAAGTCCACCAGGACAAATTTAAAAAACCGTATTTTAAATTGAGTGGATGAATAAAAAGTATTTTACTAACGATTAAAGATATAAACAAGATAGAAATGTAAGAACTAATAGAAGGAACTGAAAAAAATGAGATCGAAATTTTCGGATGCGCATAAAACGCCGGATAGAAAAATGATAGCTTTAAAAGTAAGAAAAAGAGATAAGCATAAAAACAATAATAAATGAAACAAGGTTTCTACACATAGATCAGAATGCTTTTTACTTAAAAGAAATGGCATACCTAATGAACTTAAAATGTTGTAGTTTAAGAAGTATTCTATTTCTTCGAATTCTTGGGATAATACCTAGAATAAATGACTTCAAAACATAAGAGGATTGTACACATACATTTCAAGCTCCTTCGTAAAAAAAGGGTTGATCATTATATGATGTGAATGTGCCTAACAATTAAAAAATGCAGCTTGACAGTACAAGTGCGCGTTTTACACCGGATTTTACGGCATTTACTCAACATAGTATGTAAAACTCAAAAATTTGATCATTGCTCTATTTTTAAGCCGTTGTCGCATCAGACAGAAAAAGCTCTCTCTCTCTCTCTGTATTTTATATAGATTACTTTAAATTGAGCCTATGTGAGCCATGCATTGTATTTGTATGCGTGTGCTCCGGACCTATATATACAGTGGTACAAACAATTGAGGATACACCTTACTTTTACTTGATAAATCCAACTTTCAATCGAAATAACAGATTAACTAGAAGTGCCAACGTGTTTTTATTTTCACATGTAACAAAAGGGTTAATTTACAGTAAAAAGAATGAAAATCAACAAAAAGATATCTAAAATTAAAAATTTCACAAGTATTTGAAATAAACATAGGCAGATCTTTACCTCAAAAAATTGAGGATACACCAATGAAATTTTTATTTAACTACCCCTAGACTTTTTCTGCTTGCTACTACAATAGCCTAAGTTTGGCCAATTTTATCTTAAACTCTTTTGACTGCTACTTTCGTCTTTTGAAGTTCGTTATGTGAATTTAAAGCCGCAATTTTAAATGGAAGATGGGTCCTCGGATAGAGACCAGCATTGATGTAAGAAAATTTATATATTAAGGTTATTTAAGAAAGGAATATCTTATCGCGAAATAGCTAAAATTGTCGGTAGAAGCCACTCGTGTGTCCAGAAAATCATTGTAAGATTTAAAAGCGATGGATTAATTGAAAATAAAAGTGGAAGAGAGGAAGGAAAAGTATTCTGAGGGATGTAGCCAAAAGGAAAGTTTTGAAAGATATATCAAAATTGATCCTAAACTAAGTGCAGTCAAACTAGCTGCAGAAACTTCTCGAATAATAGGCAGATGTGTAAGTGCTGAAACTGTGAGAAATGTGATTAGACATGCTGGATATAGCAGTCGAGTAGCTAGAAAGAAACCTTTCATAACAAAATCAGCTTACAAAAATTGAAGACAGATAACTTTTGGAAGAAAGTTATATTTAGTGACGAAAGTAAATTCAACTTTTTTGGAAGTGATGGCCGTCGCACCGTTTGGAGAAAGCCGAACACCGTTTTGGATCCAAAAAATTTACGTCCTACAGTTAAACATGGTGGTGTCTCCGTCATGGTTTGGGGTTGTATGGCTTCAAATGGGGTAGGAAATTTAGTTTTTATAGATGGCATAATGGATCATAAGCTTTATATAGATATACTCAACAAAACTCTTTAAAAAAAGTGCAAAAAAATTGGGTTTAGATGGAAATTTTATTTTCCAGCAAGACAACGACTCCAAACATACGGCACGTAATGTCAAAGTGTGGTGTCTTTTTCATTGTAAACAGCAATAGCACACACCCCCACAGTCCCCTGACATCTATGTCATAGAAAATTTGTGGGCCACACTCGAAATAGCGGTCCAAAAACACCAAATTAGGAACAAAGCCCATTTAAAGCAAGTGCTACAAGAAGAATGGGATAAAATATCTCCAGATACCACCAAAAAATTGGTCGAATCGGTACCAAGACGTTTGAAGGACAATTACAAAAGCCAAAGAACATGCAACTAGATATTGACACTGTCTTTGTATGTGATATGTCACACATATTTCTCATTGGTGTATCCTCAATTTTTGAGCTAAAGATCTGCCTGTGTTTATTTCAAATACTTGTGAAATTTTTAATTTTAGATATCTTTTTGTTGATTTTGGTTATTTCTACTGTAAAAATTAACCCTTTTGTTACATGTGAAAATTAAATCACGTTTGCACCTCTATTTATGTGTTATTTAGATTGCAAGTTGGATTTATCAAGTAAAAGTAAGGTGTATCCTCAATTGTTTGTACCACTGTACGTCTTTGCAAACTACGATTTTTTCTGTGCACTGCTGTTCATAAAATTATTCCGAAGACTTTGGAATGCTATTAAAGGATCTTGAAAGTGTTTGTGAAGGATTAGAGAATTTGCTTATTTCTTCCTTTTTTTTCTCCCCCACCCACCCCATACACTCACCTATGCGGAAAATGGAGGCATTGGTATCACGTGACTTTTGTGATTAATTACAAACCACACAAATTATCAAGTATTGATTTTTGTATATAATTTTATATATGGCAAGCTCATGGGGTGACCTGTATTTATTAACTTTGTATTATTAAATTAGTTAGCAAATATACAATGTGCAATACTCTGATACATTTATAAGTATATTATAGCAGCGCGGTAAATGTGTAATTTATTATTATTATTATGTCAGAATATATTTTGTCTGTTTACTTACAGTAAACTAATATTTTTTTGTTTTCGACTTTTTAATGTGCTCACGCCCCCCGTATAGTTATCATGCCCTCCTGGGGGCGTGCCCTACAATTTGAGAAACGCTACGGCATTTGCGCGACCCTGCATTCCTCTTGAATTCCGAGTATTTTCTGTACCCCTTACACACCCTGAAAGTTTGTGGGTCTGGTAGCGAATTATTCTGTATGTTATTTTAACAAAACTTTTGTCAATGAGTAACGAAAAATTTTTCTTTCTTAAATTTTTACTTGATTTTGATGAGGAGCTACTAAGATCAGATTACCTATTTGATGGCTATGTAAGACGCATTATCGGAAGAGGTCACTGTAGGTGTGAAAGGTGAAACAAATTTGGAAACTCGGCTGAGAGAATGTCTTGGAGTCTCTTAGAGAGTCTTTTGGAGTGTGGGTTTCCCCTTTAGAAATGGAATACGTCACATCTTCAAAAGAGACACTTGAGTCAGAATCATTTCTGTTTGGACGTAGCCGGTATTACCATTAGGTCATTGGTTCTTGTCACCCCTCATGCGGTGGGCTTTGAAAGCAGAGATTGACATTGGAACTGCACCGGTCACTTCTCTGTCGGCTGGATAAAGGTAAGTAAATGTTGACTTGCCCTGGAACCTAAGCGTGGGTAATGTTCTCTCTTGTCTTTTCTCTTTCCCACGCGAAACTACGTGACCATTAGGACGTCGTTAGTTTTTTTAACTGGAATCCATTCTTTTGGGGAGACCGCCGCAATTTATAAACAACAAAGTTAGTCAAAAGAACTCTTGGTTTACATTCTGAGCCTATTTTATTGATTGATTATTGACATCACACCTCCAAACACACGAGGGTTATTGGCCCTCGTAATTTTGAGCCATTATTAAGTAACGAGGACAGCATTTAAGTTGGCACTTCATTCTCTAATTTTTATTGCAAGCCAACGTGAGCATTTCGAGCAAATTTAACGATTCTCAGCCTCTCTACACGATGTATCACCAGAAATGTCGGTCACGACTCTTTCACGATGATTCATTTATCATAGCCTTGAGCATATTAGAAGAGCAATTTTAAACAATAGTAACTTTACAATTAGATATGAGAGGGACAAACCTACGTAACTGGCATTGACGTTATACAGGCTGGGAGCGGAAATTTCCTGTTTTGAACGTGTTGCAGTGAGTTTCGTAGGGAGCGGAGGTGCTAGGGAAGAGGTTTGGTGGAAGGGGGGGAGTGGTATACCCGTGTTCACACTCGTCTTAGTCTCAAACATGTTGTGGTTGAGGCAGCAACGTGCTTTTGTCGTGGAGGTGTATATCTGTAGCAGTCGGTCGGTGATTGAAGCGCAACGTGGTTTTCGATATTCCACCATGAGGTCGCGTTCCTGATCGGAAATGGGTTTTAATGAGGATCAGTGAAACGGGAAATGTTTCCAAAGAAAGGAAGGGACCTCCGAAGACCGTTAGAACCGTTGGAACGAGCTCGTGTGTTGATTCAGACCGATATGTGACTATGATCCAACAACCAGGGTTTTTGGGGGTGTTTCGAGAGCAGCCTTCACCGAATGATTGTTCTTCCTGCGAGGGTACATAAGCTGTCCGGCGCGCTCACCTGATTTATCCCCTTCTGATAACTTCCTGTTGGGCTTATCTCAAGTCCTTGGTTTACAAAGATCCTTGGAGGACCTAAGGAGCAACATCTGAGCCGAAATGGACATTATCCCGATGAATATGCTTGAAAAGGTGACTCAAAGTTTTCGAAATCGAATGCATCAGTGTATTGATGATGAAGGGTGGCATTTAACAGACAATGTGTCTAAAACTGTGTAAATTGAAATGTTGTGTGGTAGGCTGAAAATAACAATAAAATCGAATGAAGCATGCAGTGTGTTTTATTGTATTTTTAACACAGTAAGTTCTCATGCACCACCCTGAATTATGATCGGTATTTCCCAATGTGAGTCTAACACTCTACGGCGGGTCAATTTGATTGTTAAGGAGAGCAATTTAAAAATAAGTTCGTCGAGAGCAGTGCTTCTCAAACTTTCAATATTCATCACAATTTTCTTCGAGGCCCCCCCACACAAAAACAATGTATTGAAT